GTAAGCTGCCTTAAAGCATCCTAGGTTCAACACAGAGATTTATGATACCAAGAGCCATGGCCTAGAGTAGGGATGAATAGAAAGAAACACTATTTTCTTCCCACTCCGTGCTGAAGGAACTCAGCTAATAAAAATTCACCTAGTGATGGAGAATGGAAGGAATCATGGTGGATTATACCCAGAATGCTACTATGGACTACCTGCATGGTTTGACAGGTAAGGAGCTCAGTGTTTGATTTGCTGATTTACTACTTTTAGGCTGCATTTACAAAGTTGTCTATCATACACTGTAGTAATGACAACTAAACCAAAAATTAAGTACATTAATACCCACAAAAGAATGAAGGAATAAACTAGCATATCCACATTTTGCAACTATGAGAATGAATGAGATCTACTGGAAATCTCTGGAGAGGAAATGATGACCTACCTTTAGGTTTTTAAAAAGTTAAGCTTAGCATATACATAGGCTCTCGTTTTTATAAAAATGTTCACCACATATATAAATATTTATATATTTTGTATGAGCTCAGATCTGTATTGAACAATAAACACCAAGCTGTTAACTCCAATTAAGGTGGACAAAGACTAAGGGAAGGGGACTGAGTTGGCTTGTTCATGGCAAACTACCATGTTGTTGGGCTTGTTATATATGTATAATGGGCATGAACAGCTTTGTATCTTGAAAGGTTAATAAATTATTATTCTTGAAAATAGGCATGTCAACAAATTTGGGGACAGGGGTGCAATGTAAATGTAAAATCACCCCCAGAATTATCAAATGTAGAACAAAATAATGAATCTCATTACAACATACTTGAGATAGTCAAACTTGGATGACTCGAAGCTAAAGAGAGTTACTATAATTAGTTTTCTTTGATTTCAGGGAGTTATTCTACTTATCTCAAGATAAAGCTAATAGACTAAATTGTTTTTGAAAGATCCTAAATGGTTCCCAACATTTGGGTATATTCCAAGAAGACTAATTTAGCTATTTAGCTATTTAGAGAATGGCACATTTGATAGGAACAATGCAAATTAGATCACTGTAGTTTGTGTTCGATTAGACACACAAACTGGAGGGAAGCAGTGACAGGATGATGATACAAGGACCACAATTTATTGGATTTTAGAAAGCCTTATGTTTAGGAGCTTGGGTGAGGTTTGTATGAGATTGTAAGCCTGTTGCATAATACCCCAGAGGATAAATTAAGGATCAATCACATGCTTTTCCTTATAATACACTGTAAAATACATCTGACTTTAAGAGAAAGAGAAAATCATCTCTAACCATTATTAAAGTACCCTTTGTGAAATTTTTCAGCCTGTGAGTCATAATCTATGAATGGATCTTGAAATATATCCGTATGAGTCTAAATTTAAAAGGCAGAGAGTTTAAAAACCATCACCTTCAATAGTTCCTCTTTTCCTGCCCCCTGTCCTGCATTTCTTATTCCAATTAGTAAGGAAAAAAAAAATAACACCATCTCTGAAATCTACATAGCCACATCCTGTGCTGATTTTTCAAGAAGCTAATTTTTCATTTAAATAAAGTCAAATTTAAGTATTCATTAGAAAATTCAAGAGATAATTATATTTTCAAGATCTCTTACCAAAGTGTTTGCTGTAATGGATAAGTAGCTTTGCTTTTAGATTTAACCAAAAGAAAAAGTTTCCAAATGCCCTTTTAAGAACAAAGGAGATAACATAAAGTCAAAGTTGTGATCAGAATATGGGTGACAACAGCTCTATTTTACCAAGATGAGCATGCTCTGAGTACCAAAGCTAGCAAACCCTCAAATTTGAAAAGTTACTTCTTGGCAGCTGGGTAGTCAGTACTTGGCAATCCAAAGATCACTTGTTTTAGCAGAATTCTCAGGAGAAAAGTCATTTACTATTTAATTTCTAACATGTCTCTCAACACACAAAACTCTGATTTCAATGTCTAGGAACCACAGGAAAGAGGTCCTTTGTACTGCAGGATTGTACACCAGTTGCCTACCAGAACTCTGAACCTACAAGGACATATTCAACCTATACCAGCTCAGTCTGCTTTCTTTCCTTGTGCCCAATCCACTCCACACATCCACTATGTTGCCTGCAACACAGTTCAACTAAATAAGCAAATAAGAGTTAAGAGCCAGCTTATACAGGACCATCTGCCTAAATAGCCAGAGACCTCCAGTATCCTTTTTGAGTCTGTCCTCCACATCTTTTATTATCGATTTCTGTTCAACTTGCCCAAAATCTTTCTGGAAACTGTTTCATCTCTGCATGCCCACCATCACCATCCTACCTCAAGAACCCCTGCTCACCCTGATCACGGCAACAGTATTTTAGCCAGTTTTCTGTTTCTAGTCTTCTCACTAATCTGTTCTCCAAAGTCAAAATGAATACTCTGAAGTATAATTCTGATTATATTCTTCTCTTACTAATAAGTAAAGCTCATCCTTTCAGTGGCTGCTTTCACTCTCAAGAAGTGTCCAAATTCCTCAGTGCAGCCTAAGAACAACACCCCTCCTCATCCCCATGCCACCTTCAGGTGGCCTCTAGAAAAGCTTTCCTGGAGCCCAGCGAGTAGCAGTCTGGTGCCTTCTCTTCATGTCCTTCACAGCATCGAATGCAGACCTCACTGGCCTTGTTTCTTAGTCCTTGTCTACCAGGCCTGTAACCTCCTTCAAGACTGAGGTTGTGTCCAACTGCTATGTAATACACACCCTGTGCCTTCCATAAAGCAGGTACTGAATAAATACACATTAAAGATTCACATTAATCAATTTCTTTGCAGTGGGACATATAGAAAAGGCAAATCAGATTTGGGAGGTCATGAAACCATCCCCCCAAATCTGAGGCACATAAGGTCAGACTACCTAGGGCTAGATGGTCACACAATGACCTTAGTCACAGAATCTGAAAACAAAGCACTGGGACCAATTATATATAACTCTGCTCACAATTATAAACAATGCTCACATTAAGTATATTTTACCACTGAAACCATCTTATGTAAAGAAAACACAACAAAACACTCATGACTGTAACAGCTATTATATTTTTCTAAACTGCTCTTCCACTTTTGTATCTGCATGTTTGTGGGGAATTTTTGTTATTTATATATTTGGTAGTACTAGGGATTGGACATGCTAGGAATGCTCTCCTTCCTTGAGCCATATCCTGAGCCCTTTTGTAAATATTTTTATTTTGAAATAGACTGGTCTCTAATTTGCAATCTTCTTGCTTCAGCCTTGTGAGTAGCTGGGATTACAAGTGTGCACTAGCATGGTTTGTTTTCTTTCTTTCTTTCTTTTTTGTTTGTTTGTTTTGGCACCAGGGATTGAATTCATGACCTCGCACTTGCCAGACAAGCGCTTTCCCTGCTGAGTTAACTCCCCAACCCCAACAACTTGTTTTTCTTTTAAAAAGCTATAATTATAGCACATATATATTGCTAAGTTAGTGTTATTTTATATGGTTTTCCCAACTAGGTACAGTCTTCATACACACAGTCTTAATGACTGAGTAAATACAATTAACTTTGTACACTATAGCCTCCTTAATCACATTTAGGTACCTTCTAATCTTCATATTCAGTACTAGATATTTTAAAATGCTTTTCTCAATTTTTCAATTTAGGGTGGAATTCTTCTCCTTATATTAAAAGATTATCTTGCTATGTCAAAGGATCTTAAAGAATATATGCTGGTGATTCTATCTACAATGAAAACAGTAGCTAGTGTAAAAATGGAAACAAGCAGGGCTTGCAAACTTCATGGTTGGTAGACAGAGAGACCAGTATGAAAGATGGTGGTGCGTGATGACAGGTAAGACTTGAAAAATGAAGACAGGCTGCCAGAATGAACTCAAGGCAGGCACCACACAGGCGGAAGATGCTTCTGGACAATGGTATCTGCAGTTACTCTTGGTTCTTGGTGAACCAAGACTCTAACCCAGCTCAGCTCAGAAACAGGACATGATCTTGCCGGGGGCGGGGGAGGGGTCTCTGGAGCCCTGGGAAGACGGAAGCTGGCCAAGCAAGGTGGTCAGATATCAAAAATAAACATAACAACCATGATGGGGCAGCACCTGACTGAGACCTTTTCCTCAAAATAAATAAAGAGCCAACAAAGGGAAAAGGAAATGGGGTAGAAAATTTTATTAAGACAGATACTCTGGGGAGGATATCTGAAGGAATACTAGATTCTGGACCTACTTTGCTACAAGTGCTCCCTAACAAATACTCCCTCCTTACCCCAAATCTGGCCCTTGCAGTTAACAGCTCTTCTGCCAACTGTCAGATTACTTTCTTACTGTGGATCCCTTATAATTAAAATCTGTTTGGGCCCTCATGCAAGTAGTTTCTGACTGTACTGTTTTTTAACCATTATAGTGCTAACCTCAACAATTTTCACATTCCATTTCTAAATCCCATTAGATATCTCACACTTAATATGTTGTTTTCCATTCCTCTTCCCCTATAGCAGGGCTCTAGCTCTAATGGAAGGCAAAAGGGATCTGTGACTTTGCTGCAGCGCTGTGGTCTGAGGTGACTGCAGGCACTTCTTTCTATTCCATTTATTCGTAAGTCTTAGAGCAATATTTATACATCCTTGAAGAAGCCAGGTTACTATTAAGCCTTAAACTCAGCCAAGCTTAAATATAAGAGGACAGTATGGTCCACAAGTCATACCCTACATTAAAAATGCTATACATCTGTCTCATTCCCCATCCCCCATACCTTCACTTCCTCCATGCCTCATTCAGCACCCCACAGAGACCCTAGGAACAGAGTCTGTGCTTTCAGCAGTAACTGACGTCCCTGTAAATCCATGTAATGTTCAGAAAAATAAATTCAGGGCTCTCCACTGCCCGTAGAGCCACATTAATCTTCTGAGCAGTACCACAGAACAGCCGCCCTCTCCTCCCCTCCCCTCCTTCCATCTGCTTTAAGTAGGGCAAGTGTTTTACTCATGTTAATTGTTCTGACAGATGAGGATCAACACTGCTTTAATCCATTTGCAGCCTAGTACAGGGAACATTTGTCTTCTCAAATGCTGTTAGAGGCAAGCGCACTGGCTGTCAGTGACACAAGAGCTACTTCAGGGCAGTGATAGTACTGGTAAGTGAATGACTCTCCTTTCCTTACACAGGAAATTCAAGGGAAACTTTTCCTGAACCCAGCTCATGGTTTCTTGGTTGCCACTGTGGCTGTGTTCTGATCCTTTAAGGAATAGTAGAGTTTCATCAGATTAAGACACGCTGATTCTTTTAAAATGTTCATGTGTTTTCTCATTTACCAATTAATCACATGTAGATTCGCTAAATGACAAATGAATACAATCAAATTCAGAAGGCTTTTGCAACAAATTTCAACAACCCAATTAGGAACTGTGTGCATTTTGCAGTGGTACGGAGACCAACTCCTTGTGCACCGGGTAACATGAAAGCCAAGGCCTGAAAGTGTTAGCAAGGCCATGGACATTAGACAGAGGCATCCCTGGATTCAAACCCCAGGTCTGCCATCTTTACCTCCTGGCCAGCTGCTGTATTGCGAGTACCAAATAATTCAGCACATGTCACACGCAGCCCAAGCCTGCCCCTACCCAAAGGCTTTAGGGGTGTTCACTTAACCTACTGTTAGACATAACCTAAATCTTGGTTCTGAGTCACCTATAAAAGAAACTTCAAATGATACGCTAACTTTCTCCTAGAGGATTTTACTCATATTTTGGAAATTCAAAGAGAATGTATACAGCGGCTTGACAGCGTTCCTTGCCTACCATTTCAGGAAATGGATAATAGTTTTTTTCCACCCTGTCCTCCTTAAGTAGTATTTCTTCACTAGCATCCGTACTCTGGCCTGACTTCAGTACTTATCTCCCAAATGCTTTAGAATTAGCCATTTCCCTTTCCTAATTCCTCTGTCTTATTTCTATTTCCTCTTCTGTCTTCATGATTTTAACAACGTTCTGTATTTCAAGTTCTATATTTCAAGTTTTCAGTACAGTGACTCCAGCTCAGAAACCTAATGGAGAAAAGTAAGATAATGTAACTCAGACTTACAGAATATTCTGCATGGAGAACTCACCTGCAAAACTCATTCATTACCCTTCACGGGTAGAACTACTGACTTCATCTTCCTTCTCCTTACACTTCTGCATGCAAACCTGTGCAGGCTACTTTGGTGGGATGAGAATCCTGATCGAAAAATACTCTTCCAGTTTTTTAGCACTTTTTTCTTCAATTTCTAGGCAGGGTGCCGGTCACCAATCAGTCATTTGCTAAAGACTTTTATTACTGACAAAAAAGATGCTTACACTATTCTGCCAGCTTTTCTTGCCCAAAGAGAAAATGAATTTGCATGTTATAGGATTTCAACAGTGGGGCAAAGAAAGATCAATTTTTTCTCTATAAAATAAACATTTAAAATACTAATGGTAAGTCTATATTTAGAATTTTAGGTGATTTTAATTTTAGTATTTCTCAGACTTTTTGAAGTTTCCATGATGGTAATGAATTACATTTTGATCAGAAAAACAAAATAAACTGTAATTATACAAAAATCATCTTAGTTGTTCTTATCTATATTCATAATTTTGCTTTTTGAGTTACATTTATACTATATACAATTTAGTTCTAAAAATCAGACAAAATAGCCACTTCAGATTTTCAAGAAACAAATCTTGGACTTGCCAAATTAATTCAATTGAATTAATGCTATAGTATCCTAAAACCCCACATTTTCATATTGAGATTAGTAATTCTCTGATAACACCCATCAAACATAACTTGGTCTAACTAAACCACATAAGCAGATGATTCAGACAATTCCTAAACGTAGAGTTGGATGAGAAACTCAGATTCTCAAGAACAGTTTTCCCATTTCTGCTGCTAAAAGAATACACCTGGATGCATACAGGTCTCTTAAAGACAATTTCAGGCAAATTTTAAACCACATTGTCTATTAGAACATCACAAACAGTCCTGAAATGTCTTGATTAAAATTTAGAAATAAATGTTGGGAGCTACACTTTTACTGGGACTCAAAGTAGTCTGGTGGGGCTATTATGTTTTTTAAATAATCATTGAGGTTAATATTTAAGAAAATAAAAGATGACATCAACTCAAAAGACTTCTAAATTGACAGCATTCAATGAAAATACCTTGCATCTATAACTATAATGAGAGAAAATATTAGCCATACTTTGTACATCTGCTGTCAGAGGAGTGAGGTCAAAGCTGACTCTGCTTCTCCAGGTCTCAATCTTTTTGCCTAAGAGATGAGACACCTAGCCCACCAGACAGGATGAAGTGAACTGAGTTACTTGTATGAACAAACGGAAATGTTTATATAGTCAACAGACAAGTGGTATTATTTACAAATGGTAAACCACAATGAAGAATCATCCATCTGAATAGTTCTTTCCTTTAGATGTAAAAGTCACAATTCCAAGACCAAAACTGTATAAAAACAGAAAAAATGAAAGCTCCCAGACACTCTGCTGAAGGGTGAGCCATCTTGTTACCTGTGACTGCAGTCCCACCGGCAATTCTGGCCCCTGTCCCGCCCAAGGCCTGCAGCAGCCCCCCACAGGGATGGAGCTCCCTGCAGTCCACAGTCCCTGTCAGTTGCATCACTGCTCATCAACATCATCTTCTCCCTCCTAACAGGGCAGAGATGCACCATGCTCAGTCAGCTCAGGGGGCTTTGCTGGAGGCTCCTCCTGTGTGCACAGTTTTCTTTTCTTTTCTTTTTAAAAAAAATTTTTTTTAAAGAGCACAAAATTGAACACAACAGAACATAAGAAAGCAATGTAAGAAACATAAATTTCAAAGCAAGACAATCAGAGATCTTCACTATCATCTATCATATTGTCTGTTTCCTTCCAAATAGTTGACCATATCTTCACACACAGAGAATTCACATGAAACAGCACAGTATAGGACTGATCTGAACAAGATGAGGAAAGCGTTTTAGGTCTTCAAGATCAGACAACTGGGAAGTCAACAATAGCTGTCACTGTGCCTCTCATTCTCTTCAAAATAGCTGTCCACTCCTTCATGTATGTTAAGAGTAAACAAAACAAAACAAAACAGGCTAACATCACTCTGAGCAAAGAATAATAGGATTGGTGGATTACACATCATGATGCTACGGGATCAGCACTGGGTATTGTAGTGTCTCTTTTTCTTTAAAGTAGTTGTTCATTTCATCATGCGTTATATGATCAGTTCTCATAAACTGTTAATAGGTTCTACACATGCATGAGTCTCTATATGTATTTCTATTCTTTCTATATTAGGAGGGAGAAACGAAACAAAGCAAGACAAAACAAAACATACTCTATAAAAACACGAAATGAAAAAGTCATATAAAACCAAAGTACAAGGTGTTCTACAATGATTACTGTGTTGTCTCTTGTTATCTTTAATAGAATTGTCTACATCATCAGGCATAGTACAATTGAATATAGCAGTACATAACAATATTAATAAAAACAAAACATTGTAGAATAGTGTAAAACTTCAAATGCCGGTAATAATCAAACCAGAATGGGTATCCTAGTGAATCTTGTCATCTTCAGTGTAGTTGCCTATACTCTCAGCTTGATACTATCCATCACAACAGATTTGGATAAAATCTGTTGATACAGAACAGCAATCTAACAAACTAGATTCAACTAAGATCAGTCATGATAAGACAGTGTAAATTATACAGGGCTTCAGATTAAGTTAATAGGAAATTAAGGATGATTACCGTACTATATCCTACTATTTTTGGGATAGCTGTCTGTGCCCTCAAATCTTGGTGTGCACAGTTTTCTTACCTGTCAATTTTGTTTCCACATTAGGAGAAACCTCACCCCTACCGAAATGCTTTTAAGAAGATTTTTATAGGAGAGAAAAGATTGAACTGCACTTCACAAGATAGAGTCTCTTCATCTTCTGATTTCTGGTGGCATTCATGGCCTGCTCTCCCATTACCACGCCAGATCTAGTGGTACAGTACAGTTAATACAGCATGAATACTTTTTGCTAACTAAATGGTAAGTGACTCATTCAAAATGTATATACTGGGTATCTACTAGTGGGCGGGGCACTCCCTTGGAAGTCAATTGAGTAAGACCTTCTTCTATCTTCAAAAAGCAAAACCTCCAAGCTACATAAAATAATTCATATGGAAATATTGAAGTACTTGCTTCCTACATGTGCTGTACAGCACAGGGAGTAATTGAGTGTCCCCAACCTGCTGGTACCTCCAAGGTTTACCTATTTCCAGTTCTTAGCATGAGGCCAGGCACTCAGTCAACACTTAATACAAGTTCAAGCAAGGAGAAGCAGGCCCTCCAGAAAGCACAAAGTACATATCCAATAACATTCTGTCACTGAAGGTTTGGGACAAAGGCCGCAGTGAATCTCACTAATGGCCAGAGAGTGCACAGGAGAGGTAACACAGTTCCCAATGGAGGTGACAGGAGAAGATTTTCATGGAGCACAGGCATTTGAGCTGAGCTTGGAAGCAGAATTTTGACAAGTAGGAAGCCACAGAGATGGGGAGGATGTCCAGGTGGACAGGAGAAGGATGATGTGATTCTACTGAGTGTGTGGCTGCCAGAAGACAGGCCTTCCGCAGCTGCAGCTCTGGACGTCTCCGTGGCCCCATCTGCTCCTTACTGTTATTGATTTCAAAGGTTAAAGAGCTGCCGTGGTAAGCGAAGTGCAGGTCCTTGCACTCCTCGGAAAAGCACTCCAATCCAGATGTAAAAGGGTTTGAAGAGTTTAATATCCCACAACCCATCTCTGTTGTGTATAAAACAGAGGCGGAAAAATTTTTCTTTCACGTAAGTTTTTCTAAAGTTTGATTTTTATTCCTTTAGGTACTAGATTAGAACAAGTCTGTCAGATTACTCGTAAGAACATTTTTCCCGGGGCTGGGGATTTAGCTCAGCAGCATAAGCACCTGCCTTACAAGCAGGCGGTTGTGAGTTCGATTCCCGGTACCGATAAAAATGAAAAAGACAAAAAAAAAAAAAAGAACATTTTTCCCACTACAGAAGAAAGGAGTACAGAATGAGTGTTTTGGCCCCTGAAGGAAATGTCATGGCTATATGATCAGCCACATCTCTTTATCTAGACATCTTCCTAATGAGGGGTCTGACTTACTGAGAGGTTTTGGTTTTCATTCCAAATAAGCCTGGAGAAGGGACACTTATTGGCTGTCTCAAATGACAATCCAGACACAGCTGCATTAAAAGGAATATCACACACAGTACAAAGAGAGGCCAGGACATCCCCAGAGCTAGTCAGACATCTGGACCAGAGCACACATCCAAAAGCCCATCCTGAGAGCACTCTGAGAAAGCCAGACTAGCCCCAAAGGACACGAATCATCTGGAAAGCACGACTACTGAGGAACCACAGTCAAAGCTCTGCACTCTGTCTGAAAGGGTCTGGGGGCAAAGGAGAATCTCCTCTCTCTTCCCCTTTCTGTCCCCACCTCTGTGCCATATCCGTAATTCTCAACTTTGCTTTTCACTTGGACAAACAAAAACCCACATAAGTGAGAGGAACTATCCAAGTCACACAGTCAGTAAAATGAGTATCTGACTCCAAAATCCTTTTTATATTCCCTCCAAGTTCATCAGAGGTGATAGCTGGAATATAATTTTCATAGCAATCCTCAAAAGAATTGTAATCTGATCTTATAACATTAAAATTTGCTGTCATATAGACTGTTTTTCCACATATTAACATCACATGTTTATCAAGATGTATCTGGATATCAGTAACTGGAACAGAATATAATGGGTAATTCAGGTTCTTAATCAAAAGCTTAGTTTCTATTTAAGATCAAAATTACAACATTTAGTTCTATTTGCCACTCATGTCCCACCCACCCCCTAGCCCAATTGCTTTTCTTTAAGTAGAAGTCACAAATTAAAGGGATGGACTGGTTAGAAAGATGCTGACAGAAAAAAAAAAAATCAAACCTGCTTGCAAAACTTTATTTTGCTGACCTGCATAATGGCTTACAGTTTCATAATCATTCAGTCTTTATAATCCTACAGACGTCAGCCAGACTTTAGCAAACAAATCAAAAGAGGAGATATATAAATCAAGCAAATAAGACTGAAATTGTAGAAGACATATTCTGGGTAAAATCTCTATATTCCACTGACACGCTGAGGTGTACTAGACAGCTGGTAGCTTCAGTCAGCTCTGCATCTACAATTGAAGAATTATCTATATCATTGGACCAAACAGGCAATCCTAACTTTATATAAAAGATTACTTAGTGACATACACTCTAGCAACAGAAACAAAGAAAAAGTTTCTCTGAAACACCTATTTGTCTGCAAACCCAAACCTTACTTCTTCCATCTCTTCATCAAAAGGTTAAGAGAGGCAGACCACAAAGACCGCTCGGGTAATGACCAATCACACCCACCTCATGGACGCTGGTCTAAAAACATGAACAAACTTCAAGCTGCATAAGAGTGGAGGCCATTCAACACACAAAGGACCTCACTGCTACAATGGAAACATGGCCTTCATGAGGGCAGGTGGACTTAAGGATTTGGTCTAATCCAAGTTTGGATCCTGAGTAAGTTGCCTCTCAGCGGAAGTCCCAATTGTCCAGGAAATCTGGGAAGATGGTGGCTACAGGAGAGAGAATAGGCTTCCTCTAAAAATCCTAACATTAAGCAATGGGCTTGAGCTATACACACAGCAGAAGGTTCCGACAGCAAAGGAAACACCAGTGTCCACCCTGTGTTCACATGCCTGACTCCCAAGAAAGGGTCCACATGCAGAGATCAGCTACTGAGTCTGATATCCTAAATCTCCTAGATTATACACACAATCTCCTAGATTATATAGATTAGAAGCAGCAGGCAGTTAAAACAAAGAAAAAGAATAATCATTTTCAAATGCAAACATATTTAAAAACTCAGTAACAGTCCAGGAGCACTGAGAGGAACTAATAGCTTTACCAGCTTCAATCGCTCTTGCGTCACTGCCACCCCCAAGGATACTAAAATAATTTATTACAAGTGGAAGAAAGAAATATGGCTTGGTAGCAGAACATATAAAAGAGATTTAGGAATTCTGGTTCATGCAAAGTTCGCTGTGAATTAAGTGTGTGGCGCCTACCAGCAGCTTGTGCCATCTAAGGACGTGTGCTGTAGCTACAGTCGCCTGAGGACGTGAGGGTGGAGGTCTTTTCTCCTTACCCGGTTCTGGCAGACCAGATTACTTCTGGACTCCTTGTTATGAGAAAGAAGAGTAAGTATGTATGCAGAGGAAGGCCACTCTGAGAAGACCTAAAAACGCAGAATACGAGAAAGATCCTTTTCCTAAAATGAGAGGACAGAGAGAGTAGGCAATAACACATCAACCCAAAGCTAGGACTGAGTTAGAACTGCTCCTGCTAAGGCAGGTGGGGGACCTAGTGGCCCTCACAGGCATCCCTGAGATTACAGATCCCCAGGGCATGACACCGACAAACACACTTGTGCTGCAGGTAGTGGTCCCCGCAAGGGTTACTGGTGATCTGACCACATTTATATAGTGGCCCCAGTTCAGTCTCAGCAGCTCTGCCTCCTCTTCAGTCCTGCTTTACCAACCAGAGAAAGCCAGAATGTGGTGATGGTATGCACGTGATAAACAAGACTTGGGGAATGCAGACACTTTATATTTGGTTTGCACAGTCTCCCTTCCCATCCCCTGGTTGAAGCCTGTTTAAAATATGAATGGACTTGACACTCTTATTTCTTTTTCTTTTTTGACACAGAGTCTCACTATGTATGTAGTCCAGGCTGGCCTCGAATTCATGACGATCTTTCTGCCTCAGCCTTCCAGTGCTGGGATTATAGGCGTGTGTCATTATGCTTGACCTATTTCCAATTTCTTGAGACAACTAGAATTCTGGCAGCCTAGGGCCTGCATCATGTACGGTGACGATGGACTAGAAATGAAGGCAGCTTCCTCTTTTGGTTCTTGCCCTCTGTAAGTAACATGACAACCTTTTGAACAAGTAAAAAAACCCATTTAATATATGAAGCCCACCCTAGATAAACATTCATTTGATACAAATATAATTTTTTAAAAATCTTTCTATATTTAAGAACATCACCAACAGATTAAAGAGCGGGGCAAAACAAATACACGCTTTTTAGAGATAAGAAAATACCCAGTAGCCCTGGGATGTTGAAGAAAGTATTGAGTTCATGGACCCTTTTGAGGGTCACCACAGCCTTTGCTCTGCTTCCTGAGAGAGCGGAAATTTCTAATCTTACTTTATTTTCAAGCAGTAGTTCTCAGCCAAGGATACACTTGTTCACAGAGGACATTGGGTAATGTTTGGAGACACTTTAGCGTCTCACAATGGGAGGAAGGTTACAAGACGCTTCTGGTGCCTACCGGGAATGCTCAGGGATACTGCTGAACCCCCTGCAGTGATGTGTAGGGACAGCCCTGCAACAAAGCATGGCTTGACAGAAACCCTCATTAGGGAACTTTTTCAGAAGTGCTAACCCATAAGACATTGAACCCTTCAACATCTGGCTCCAGCCAACCATTCCAAACTCATCCTAACTTTTGACCTGTGGTTTCTCCTGTATTCCTCATCTATGCATTGCCTCAGTCTCTTTTCCACCCTTCACATACATCTGGCTGTACCATTCTCCCAGGTATTCCTGCCACATCCTTTTGTCTCTACTTATTTTTCAAGGTCACCCTTAATACCACCTTCTAAAAGCTAGCTCCATGGTCTCCTTGCCAAAATTAGACAGGTCCTATGTTCTTGTTTCTCAAACTTAAAACTAAACACCCTGACAATACTGCAAATACGGCAACCTGAACAGAGTGCTGTTCAGTCTGCCTGTCTCATCTCATCCTCACAGCACTGCTGGCAAGACAAGAACAGGTCACCGGGTGGACAACAGCATGGACTCTGGATCAGCGCCCACAAGGACTCAGGTTTTTGCGCCCTTTGTCAGTACTCTGTGGTCCTGGGCAAGTTTCCTCTGCTTCTTCAGAGGAGAATACGAGTGCCATAACCTCACCATGCTGTGGTGAGGGTCAGAGGAGCCCAGGAGATCTCAGGTCTGAAGTCCAAGAAGGCTGCCATACTCCCAGAACCCAAACACCGCTCACACAGAGAGTTATAACAAATAAACTCACAGAAGAATACACATCCATGACCAAAGCAGAAAAAATCCCTGCAATCTTTCCCAAAGAAGGAAACTATCACAAGTGTGAGCCACACCAGGTTAAACAAATTCCACATCACACAGCTGGCTCTTGTTTTACTGCGTAATCAAAAACAAAATAAAACACAACAAAAATCGAAGGACAAAGATGTAAGGAGGGTTGTACAAACATGTCGGGTGTGCAGCCCTGCTCTAGCAGGATCCCATTATTATCCCGGAGACAGTAAAGTAAGAGCAAGTAAACAAGACCATACAGGACCTCTTGTGCGCCCACAGCACTGAAAGGGGGATGTATAAGGGGCTATACATTATTAGTGCCACGAATATGGGGACCTCAGATGGGAAACAAACAACAAAAAGAGTCATGTCAGTGCCAGCTGGTCCTCATTACACGCAAACCTAGCAGCTGTCTCTAGATATACCCATTTTCCATTATAAATTCAGTGTGGTCATGAATGGGTGTTGTCAAGATTCACGAACAGACAAGAGCTAGCTAACAAAACTAAATTATTCTCAATTTTCTACAAAGAGGTTGAAGGGATTCTAATTATTCTATCACCATCATTATACAAGGAAACGAGAAAGAACTACATCTTCTGGCAGAGGAACCATGAAATTATGAAATTACAATTTATTCCTTCAAAGGACAACCACAAAGACTGCTAGGGTGTAGTTGCAAAGTATCTACTATTTAATAAGTAAATTTGATCAAGAGGCTGAAGGCTTTAAATTCTCAAATTTATTTAACATATATTACAAACAACAGAGAAGAAGAGGTGGGGGAAATCAAGACTGAGAGCATGCACTTTACAGAAGGCTACGTTTGTGCAGCCCGAATATTACACATGCATGCAGCCCCAATATTACATGTGCTGTTCACACACTGTCACCTAACCATCAGGATGGCCCTTCCAGGTAGATACTGTTGATTAACCTCACCTTACAAGTGCGAGGTATCTTTGACTTACAAGGTGAGTCAAAGATCCATAGTCACAAGGCTGGTCAGTGGTAGAGCTAGGAATTGCAACGACAGTTCAGAAGTCTTTACTTAGGTCAACTTTGAACTCAATAAACAACAAAAACAGAGCAAAAGACATCAGAATTCAGCATTAGATAATGTGAATGAGAAGTAAGTAACTGTGAGAAGGCAACTCCTTCGTTCCTGTAAAGGGCAAAGGCAAATTTCATGCAACAAATTTCTAACTGCAAAGCCCAGTAACCACCTCCACCAAGAAGTCAGACTTCACTGAGCCATGTGAAATATAATCACAGTGCAAGGAACTACAAAAGCATCCAGCAGGCAAACAATAACAACAAAAACAGCTAAACAAAGTCTATATTACCTCTGATGCATCCATTGCTTCAAAAGGCTTCCAACCAATGTGCATGCTGTGATCTAAAATGTGCACTCTGAGCCCAGTGACACCCACTGCCAGCACCTTGTTCCAAATACCACTCTGCAAGAACTGGGTGTTTCCTGTTTAGATGAGAACTGTTGGCTGGAAAGGGAGGCTCTTGGCTGAGGCTCCTGTAAAGGAACTCACATCTCCCTGATTTCAAAGGACAGGAGAAAGCAACTCTGAAGAGGTAGCCCATGTTACACAGTGCTTGAAGAATCAGGTAATTGGAGCAGAGATGGAAAATCGTGCTGGTCTAGGAAAGCTTACTTTTAGGTTGAAACCTGATTGGCAAGGGGACAATCAAGTCCTAGAAGTTAACTGCATAGCCCATCTAGAATCACTCTGACTTGCTTATAGCAGAATGCGGACACTGCTCTCAGCTCCACAATTTGTCACTGTGTTATCCTTCAGTCCCTCCTTAGTCATGCCGCACAACATACAGAGACTAACTCAAAGTGAATCAACCTGCAAACAGGAGGCTATTTCCCCCTACCACACCCCAAGCGTGAGTATAGCCTTATGGGATCACTGTCTACATTCTGATAAAGGAAGCACGTTGTGTCCTAAGAAATGGATGTGCTACCAAATAACTATAAAACATTAGTCACCTGCTTTATATTAATTAGTCACCATCTTGTTCAAGGGCCACCCATAAAGAATCAGTGCTTTAACCTACAACACTAAACTATGTAAGATTTGGGACAGGGGACTCTTCGTCTCAGCCTTCTCGTCTGTGAGAACTGGCCGTACTCAACCTCATAACCTGCAGGGCCTATCATCCCTCAGCCTCTGATCAGGTGTTATAATGTCTCTAGAGCACTAATTCTACATTTCCTACCAAGAGAGTTGGTCACACTGAAGTTGTAAAGTGAACTAATTCTAGCATATAAGTCACATGATAAAAAGATTAGCTGTCTTTTGCTATTAGTTACAAGGCTGCCTTAAGTCATGCAGGCCTGGACAAGTCACTTTCTCTATTGCTGTTTGGAGCGAAACAACTTATGGGAAGAGATGATAAAAACAGAGGGACAGGTTATTGCATTTCCCTACATTCAAGCTCTCTGCGATCCAGCAATGATAAAATCACATGAAAAAGCAGGGCTGTAAGAATTTAATGGTGCTGGAGGATGTTTCATGATGCACCCCATGGGAGGATCTGGGAACATCAAGGCAAAAGGGCAATAGATTACAGCAAAGAAAAAACCCTAACCCCTGTGGGAAGCATGTTCCCAAATCACGGCCTAAGAGTACCAAGCTACATAGTATTGCTCTTCTTCTGTTGATAAAACCAAATAGACAGATAACCACACAACTTAGAATGGGGTAAGAGGAATGGGCAGAAGCTGGTACAGCCCTATAGAAATACCTGAATGACTGGACATCATAACATTCAGAGCTGCAGGACATGCCATGGAATCCAGCATGAAGGTGAAAAGCAGCAAGTAACAACAGCCTTGGTGAACGGAGTCTGCCTCACTCAGGAGGAAAAGAAAACTAGTCAATGTCTCCCAGGTTTCAAGACGGAAACATTTGCAAGAAGCACAGGCACATCCATCTTCAGGCCAAGGAAAGGTCCCCGGATGGGGCAGAGGACAGGGGAGGGCAGCATGGCCCAGGTACATACCAGACAACAACACATCAGCTGCATCTCCAAAGAGACCTGGGGTACATCCTCCGCAGATTATCTGAACATACTGAAATGAGCAGAAATCACTTAACGCAAAAACCACAATCACCTCCTTTTAGTACAAAGAATGGACTATTTCACATTTAAGTTCATGTCCCCAAGCAGAAGGGAAAGGCAGCTCACACATCTGTGTTTCTATTTCTTCCCATCTAGCCATGACAAATGAGGGCAGAGGGAAATCTGGCTGGCCTTACTGGCCTCTGTTCTGGCACCACACTTGTGACTCTTGTTCTTTCTTTGCCTGTCTCTCTTCTTTCGTTCTCCCCTTTCAGAGGATTAACAGGGTATTCCCTCACTCTTTAAACATTTGTTCCTCTGGCCACAGCCTGGCCAGGAGGATCACTGGTCAACATGGGGAACAGGATCTAGGGGCTCACCTCAGACAGATAACACCAGCAGCTTGGCGTCTTCAAATCTCTGACTCATTCTCTGCTTCTAGTGTAGTTCTGCTGGTTCTCATCTTCCGGCCTCCCTCTCATGAGAAATGTTTTGATTATATTGGGCCCACCTGAGTAATCCCAGCCAACCTCCCATTTTAACATTCTTAATTTACATACATGGAAAGGTCCAGTTACCACACAAGGTAACATACATAGAAGTTCTAGAAACTGGACTGTAAGCATCTTTGGGAGGGTCATTATTCAGCCCAGTATAGATAGTACAATTAGGATCTCTGGGAACACGATCCTCCACTCACCCAAACCAATGCCAAAGTCCCTAAGCTTTGTCCTGGGGGTGGTTGC